TGCATGCTATATGTACATGTGTATAGGGGTATACATAATATATGTATATATATATACATATGAGGAAGGTAGGTAGGTCGATGTTGCCGTCGGTGGGCGCCTGGAGCAAGGTCTTGCTGGCTGAGTTACGATCTTTGCACTACATCTTTCGAGTGGTTGGGTGCTTGCATGAAGCATCATGAAGCTACATGCTTGGATGACAGCTTTCTGGCTTCAGATATATCGCCACGCAATGCAGATTCGCACATGTTCAATCGTTGTAGTTGCTAGTCAAAAACATTGGGGCTTCGGTGATCAGCTGTCTAGGCCTAAATCAAGCTAGCCTTTTCGTGATGGCTTCGTTGGCGGAAGTCTGGCTGCAAATTCCGGGTATGGATGCTCGGGGGGCAAGTGGGCGGCTGGTTGTAGGCCCAGTCCATCTAAAGCGCGAGGACCTGGACTTCAACTATTTGGTTGTCGGGCGGGCAATCGAATGGGTGGGGTGTAGACCATCAATAGAACCATTGACTGATGCAGCAGCGGACTTCTTCCACGCGACCAGGGTCAAAGGAAGGACCCCTGCATCACGCACCCGGTCTGAAAATGTGATTAGACCTGCATGCATGTTTAATGATACCACATGATCCCCCATACTGTCGACATGAGGTGACTTCTGCAAGAATGCTGCCTGGCGAGTGCGGAATCTCATTACGATTTTCTGCGGGATTGTCAAGCGTCCACACAGACCTCGGGAAAGGAATATTCTGAAGCTCTACCGGCTTCTAAATATAGCCATCCCTGAAGGACAGACTGCATGTAGTCAGTCTTCTGCATTTCCCAAGCCCTGTACACACCTATCTCCCCCAGTATCCGCCTTCGATCAGGACGATCGCCCCCAGATGCTGAAGAGGCCTGTGCCGCAAGCAACTCTATAGCTGGGGCTTGTAATTATATATGTCTTCGGGGGATCATTAAAGGAATTTCCGGCTTAGCAGTACTGTAATTGCAGGATGCAGATGCTGATCTGGAGGAAGCCGAGGAGGAAGAGTGCTTTACAGATGATGAGGTTCTGGATGTCGGAGCCACGGCTAGTACTGATGGTCTCGAAGGCCCTGCTTTGATGCCGCCCCCCGAGTTGCCAAGTGCTGCCCCCACACCTGCCGAGCCCCGGATGCTTGTGAGTGCAACGCTAATCGAGACCCCGTCCCCTCCGGCTGCTGTGCCGGAGCCTATTCCTGTGACTCCTGTGGACCCAGCTGTTGTTCCTACGCCTGCTGAGCTGGATCGTTCAAGAACAAGTGACTTGCAAGCATTGTATAGCTAGTACAATCAAGCCCCAAACCCCAGCTTGACCCGTAACCCTATATAACCCTAAACCCAGCCCTTGCCCAGGTGATTCCATTACGACTGCAGCCACATCCACGCAAGTGACCCCGCCACCCAGGCACGATTCGTGTGCTTCTCCGGATTCTACCGAGAAGTTGCCCCTGCCATCGAGCAAGAAACGCATGCTGCTTGATGTTTTGGTGAAAGAGTATGCTTGCTTGGAAGAGCTCCTTACGCTGAAGCGTCAGAGAATGGCCAAGCAAGCTCTTGAAGCAGCTCGGTCAGTGCCGCATGGTCATGGTGGCTAGCCTTATAATCTATTGCAGCATGAGCAAAAGAATGTCTTTAAATATGTATGCATGTATTCTGCATGTGCATGGCCCAGGTGATGTGGACCGCTTCGACACCCTGCCAATGGACCTCGGTGTGGCAGAGCAGGTGCTCGAGGCTGCAAAGGTGGAGTGTCGCAAGCATGAGGAAGAGATGCAGGCACAGGTCAGGCAGTACTTCAACGAATGTCGTGTTTCGGATCGATTGCTGCTAGGATATTTTAGCCACTTGCATGCAGGAGCCTGATGCTGTTGCGAAGCAGATCACTGCAGGTGAGGATGCAGAGCGATCGGCTGAAGCCGATAAGGGTTCCGTAGCCCCCGAAGTCTCGGTGGCTCACCTCGAGGCCGATAGGGTGTCGGAGGCTCCGCTCGAGGCCCCTGTTGAATCGCGTGATGGGTCCGATGGTGCTAGTCTGCCCCATGCCCCTTTGCCAAAGCCCAGCGGCAACAGCAGTGAGGGTGCGGGGAAGGGCAGTACCAAGGCAAAGGCAAAGGCAAAGGGGAAAAAATCCACGGTGGAGCCCCCAGCTGAGGCTGGGGCTGGGGCTACGGATAAGGATTTGAAGCCCTTGTCAAAGCCTGAGTGCATCAAGGATTTGAGTGCAGTGTCTCCTCAGCAGCAGATGCAAGCAGTTCGGGGCAAGAGCGGCAAGAGGGGCCGCAAGAAAGATGATGTTGATGAGCCCATGCCGAGTGCAACGGACGAGGAGCCGAAGGCTGGAGCGGATAAGAAGGGAAAGCGGCCGCCGGGAAGACCCAAATCCAAACCGAGCCCAAAGGCTGCCGGTGTGGAGCCAGCGCCAAAAGCGTCGGCAAAAGCGAAGGGAAAGGCCAAAGCCGAAGCATGCCCAGCGGCAAAAGCGAAGGGAAAGGCCAAGGCCGAAGCATGCCCAGCGGCAAAAGCGAAGGGAAAGGCCAAGGCCGAAGCATGCCCAGCGGCAAAAGCAGCAGCAAAAGCGAAGGGAAAGGCCAAAGCGTGCGCAAAGCCCGACGAGCGGCCCGCTGATGATGGTGCATCGCATACCATGTGCAAAAAGCGTCAGCCGATCCCCGACGAGACAAGCGACGAGGCTCGCAAGAGGAAGTCCAGACAGTCATGCGCCTACCACAAGGCGAAGAAGCAAGCGGAGGCAGAAGGTATGACAACAGCTGAAGCCAAGGAGAAAGCAAGGATTGTGTCTAGCCTGATATCATGTTTTCCATGCTTTGAGAAACCGTCATGTGCATGTGTACATGTGTTTCTTCTGGCCCTTGCAATACTTGAGGCCTACAAAAGCACCGCATGATTCGGTCGATGATGACAAGCGTGAAGCTCTGTGTGCTTACATGCAGTGCAAATT